GCACCTGTGGTGGCCTGAGCGCTCTGCCAGCAAAAATAGGCTCCCGAGCTCCGTTTTCAGCTGAGACAGCCTCATGCAACCCTCCGCCAGCAAAAATAGGCTCCCAAGCTCCGTTTTCGGCTGCGACAGCCTCTTGCAGCCTTCTGCCATCAGAAATAGGCTCCCAAGCTCCGTTTTCAGCTACAACAGCCTCCTGCAACTCTCTGCCAGCAAAAATGGAGCTCCTGGGCTCTGTTTTTGCTGACAGAGGCACCATGGGCCGGTCCTTTGCTGTTTCCAGAGCAGCCCCCCGGCCCAAATATAAGTACCCAGTGGGACAGATCTGGCCCCCGGGCCTTAAGTTTGACACTCCTGGTCTAAATGGAGCTTCTCTGAGAACCACCAACAGAGCATTTAATTCACTGGATTTCCTGCAGAAAGCCTCCAAATAAACCACCGATGCACACTTTAGCAACTTTAAGATGCGTGAACTTCAACGCCCAGAAATTCCCCAGCCAGGGAACCTAAAGTTACTAAGTTTGAAAAAAAATGCTGATTTAAATAAATATGAGGCTAACTGTTTCTGGAACCTCTTTTAACTTTCAACTGCTTCAGTGTTCATCCAGAAAATTCTAAATTAGCCGGTAACGCAAGGGTTTCAGAAAAAAAACAACAGTTTAAACTGGTTTTCAGTTTCATGGATTTAGCGGAAACTCTAGCATGAAATCCCAAGGGAACTGGACTTCCTTGGTTATTTTCCTTGAAAACTTTCTCTTTCTCATCCCAGAAGGTTCTTCATTTCAGAACTGAAGAAGCCTCTAGGAGGAGAAGGAAAACAACCAAGAAAACTCAGCTGTCTTTTGCCTCAACCATGACTTGGATGATTGAAAACCTCGACAGACATTTAAGCTAGCGTTAAATCGGCATGTAGGCTTGTTTCAGTTCTCGGGTCAAATTCCACCTTACTTTGACGATGTGCAGCTTGGGTAACAAGTTGCAGTCTGCTAGTGTCATCTCATTCCCATCCAGAAATTTGCGCGTAGAGGCAAGGATGTCTTCCATGCTGTTCTCGTCAATCTCATCAGGGAGGGGACTAATTAAGTACTCATCCAGCTTCTGTAGAGTTTTCAAAAGACCCCTCTCTAAGGCTGTAGGAAGAAAGGCAACAGGGGAAGGGGAAAACAATAGTGAAGAATTTTAGGGCATCCCTCTGACATCTCTCTAAAACAGTGGTTTAAGCTTTAAGAGGTGTGGACTTCAACTCCCAAAATTCCCCAGCTGGTAAGGTAGCCAATGGATGGAGTAGTAGCCTCCTGGGAAGAGTTCAGAGTAATTTTAATGACGTCTACTGCCTTTTACCCTGTTTCCTCAAAAATAAGACCTGCCAGATGATAAGCCCAATCGGGCTTTGGAGCGCATGCGCTAAAATAAGCCCTCCCTCCAAAATAAGCCCTTCCCTAAAATATTTAACCACATGCACAGCCAGTCCCCGCCATTTCTTGGGGAACAGAAAGGGGGAAACATGCCCCACGCGCCCCACATGCATCTGTCATCCACGTGGAATGGCCTCATGGAAGCCACTCCCACAAACCCTAGCTCCCGCGCCCCTTCTCTTAGTGGCAGCCACAAAAAGAGCGACAGGCCCAGCAGCACTAGGGCTGGCAAGAGTGTGCCAGAAACAGAGACAGAACTTCTGGCCCTTTTGGATCAGCTGATCCCCGGGCTGAGGTTAAGGGGCCTCCTGAACCTCAGAAATAATAAGACCTCCCTGAAAATAAGGCCAAGCGCTTATTTCGGGGGTCAAAGGAAAAGAAGACCCTGTCTTATTTTCAGGAAAACACAGTACCACGGTAAATAGGTAACTTACAACCGTTCATTTAGTGGCCATTCGAAATTACAACTGTACTGAAAAAAGTGACTTATGAGCAGTTTTCACACTTATGACCACTGTAGCAACCCCATGGTCATGTGATTTACATTTGGATGCTTGACCACTGATTCATATTTATGACGGTTGCAGTGTCCTATAATAATGTGATCCCCGTTTGTTACCTACTAACAAGCCAAACCAATAGGAAGACAGATTCACTTAACAGCCATGTTACTAATTTAATAACTGCAGCGATTCACTTAACAAAATGTAGTGAGAAAAGTTGTAAAATGGGGCAAATTTCTCGACATAAATATTGGGCTCAATTGTGGTCATAAGTTGAGGACTACCTGTATTGGGCTGTTTCTTCTGACATTTATTTCAATTATTGCTTTTGGTATTTTTGTTTACTTTCATTCATTCATTGGATTTTCATGCCGCTCATCTCACTAAAACAGGTAGTCCTCGACTTACAACAGTTCTTTTAGTGACCTTTTGGAGTTACAACAGCACTGAAAAAAGTGACTTGTGACAGTTTTTTCACTTATGACTCTTGCCCACGGTCGCAAGTTCAAAATTCAGACTCTTGGCAACTGATTCATTGCAAAGTAATCATGCGATCCCCTTTTGCACCCTTCTGTCAACCGAAATCAATGGAGAAGCCAGATTCACTTTACAACTGTGTTACTAACTTAACAAACTGCAGTGATTCACTTAACAACTGTGGCAAGAAAGGCCATAAAAGGTGAGGCTGTTTAGTCCAGTTGCTTGTGGGTTGTTGGTTTTTTTTTTTGCCAAAATCTCCATCACTGCTCTGGCTTGGTTCCTTCAGAACACCACCAGAGGGCGATCTTGTTCAACCCAACTTGGCTTCTTGCAGAAACCTGGGCTAAAAACAGAGGTTCCTTCTCTCCTTTCAAATAGAAATGAAAGATCTGGAGACTTGTTTAGGTAAGCCTGCAGTTACAGGTGTCTCCAAAGTGTCTCCAAAAATTCCCAGTTGCCACACTCCCTTTTTCGATTTTTGTTTGGATAAGTTTTGGGGAGCAGAGCACACTTTGTTGATTCTGTAGAGCAAATGAGGTCTCTCTAATTTTACGAATTTATGTCCCTCCTGTAGGAAGTTAGCATCTACACCTCCTATAGGAAAATGAGATATTTTAGGAAATATTAAAAGGGCAGAATATTTCCCCCAAAAGGGAGGCAGAAACTCAGCCCCCACCACCTTTGTCAATGGGCCATTAAGACCTGGGCCAGTAAATGGGAAAGACTTTGGACACTCAATCGGAAATTAACAATGGCCACGCCCTACAAGGAAAATCTGTACAAGATGTTTTACAGGTGGCATCTTCCCCCAGCATGGCTCTCTAAAATGTTTAAAAAGTTGGCCCCAAATTGTTGGAAGTGCAAAAAACCTCCCAGCACCTTTTCCCATATGTGGTGGACAGTCAATGAGGCCAAAAGTTATTGGAGAATGGTATAACAATGGCTGGAACAAATGGTGGGAGATCAAATTCTGTTCAAACCAGAAATTTTCCACCTAGGTATAATACCAGAAGGGTATAAGAAGGATGTGCTTTATTTAAATATGAGCTAACCGTGTGCAGCAGCTGCTAAAAAAGCCAACACAGTTTTAGGCTGCATAAACAGAGGGACAGCCATTTGACTGAAATGGTATAGCAGGAAGTTGGACTAGAATACTGCAAAGCTCCCTTCTAACTCTGTCATTGTGTTAAAAAGTGCAGAGAAGAGCAAGAAAGATGATTAGGGGACTGGAGACTAAAACATATAAACAATGATTGCTGGAACTGGGTATGTCTAGTCTTATGAAAAGAAGGACATGATAGCAGTGCTCCAATATCTCAGGGGTTGCCACAGAAAAGAGGGATTCAAACTATTCTCCAAAGCACCTGAGGGTAGGACAAGAAGCAATGGGTGGAAATTAATCAAAGAGAGAAGCAACGTAGAACTAAGGAGAAATTTCCTGACCATTAGAACAATTAATCGGTGGAACAATTTGCCTCTAGAAGTTATGAATGCCCCAACACTGGAAGTTTTTAAGAAGAGATTGGACAACCATTTTTCTGAAGTGGTGTAGGGCTTCCTGCCTGAGCAGAGGGTTGGACTAGAAGACCTCCAAGTTCCCTTCCAACTCTGTGATTCTATTCTATTCTAAAGTTGTGCAACACCCAAAAACAGGCAGGATCTCGAAATGTCATCTTAATTGTTGTTGCCATTTTAGAAGACACCCATTGAAAGTAGAGGTTAGCTTCTTTCTGCCCCTTGCTTATTCTCTGCTAACAGAAGCATCCCTACCTCAGGTGCTTCCTTTGTGCCCTGTTGCAAAGATGCATCTGGAAGGACCTGAGGTGAAGTGAACAGACTGGTGAGTCAGAACAGGAAATAATCCATCACTTCGCTGCTCCTGACACTATTCTGCTGCAATAGAGGCCAGCAGGATTCATTACATGCCTCTGTGCAACATGCAGCTTGCCCGGTGCTGGTTAGGGATGTTGAAGTCTAATATATTTCAATATCATTCATTTGGGGAAAACTCTTTTAAAAAACCTCCTTTCTTAGGACAGGGGAAGAATTAGACTACAGGTATCCTTCTTCACCTATGACTTATTGAGCCCAAAATTTCTGTTACTAAGCGAGACGGTTGTTGAATGAGGTTTGCTCCTCCCCAGTTTTATGACTTTCCTTGTCATAGTTGTCAAGTGAATCACTGCAGTTGTTAAATTAGTAACAGCATTGTTAAGTGAATCTTAAGTTGAGCTTATTATTAGACTTGTATTATTAGACTTGAATCTTAAGTGCTTGTCAGAAGGTTGCAAAAGGGGATCACATAACCCCAGGACACTGTAACAACAATGATAAATATGAATCAGTTTCCAAGCATCTGAATTTTGATCATGTAACCGTGGGGGAGGATGCTTCAACAGTTAAGTGTGAAAAACGGCGTGTCACTTTTCTCAGTGCTGTTGTAACATTGAACGGTCATTAAGTGAACTGTTGTAAGCCAAGGACTACGTGTATGTTTACAGAGAAAAAAGCTTCCTTCTATACTGCCCGAGTGAAAAAGAAGACTGTGAAAATATCTACAGACCCCTCACATCCTGGACATTAATTGTTTCAACTCTTACCCTCAAAACGACACTAAAGGGCACTGCACACCAGAACAACTAGACACAAGGACAGTTTTTCCCCCCCAATGCCATCACTCTGCTGAACAAATAATTCCCACAACACTGTCAAACTATTTACTAAGTGTGTGTTACTATTAATCTTCTCATCTTTCCTATCACTCATCTCCTCCCACGTATGACTGCGTGACTGTAACTTTGTTGCTTGTATCCTTATGATTTATATTGATGGTTTCCTAGTATGATTTGATTGCTTATTTGTACCTTATGACTATCATTAAATGTTGTATCTTTTTATTCTTGATGAATACATTTTATCCTCCTTATATACACTGAGAGCATCTGCACCAAAGACAAATTCTTGGTGTGTCCAATCACACTTGGCCAATAAAGAATTCTATTCTATTCTTCTTCCCATTTTCTATTCTATTCTATTCTATTCTATTCTATTCTATTCTACTTCTCATTTTCTATTCTATTCTATTCCTATTCTATTCTATTCTTCTTCCCATTTTTTATTCTATTCTATTCCTATTCTATTCTATTCTTCTTC